ATTTTCTTATATGGATACACATTTCGTTTATCCATTTGTCAGTTGTTGGACATTTGGGATGTTTTCAATTATTTGGGTATATACCTAGGAGTAGAATTTCTGGGTTATATGGTAACTATGTTTAACCATATGAGGAACTGCCAGATACTACTTTCTTTTTTTTTTTTTTTTAAAGATTTTATTTATTTATTTGAGAGAGAGAATGAGAGACAGAGAGCACGAGAGGGGAGAGGGTCAGAGGGAGAAGCAGACTCCCTGCTGAGCAGGGAGCCCGATGCGGGACTCGACCCCGGGACTCCAGGATCATGACCTGAGCCGAAGGCAGTCGTTCAACCAACTGAGCCACCCAGGTGCCCCAGATACTACTTTCTAAAGTAGCTGTACCATCTTAAATTCCTAACAGCAGTATGTGAGATTCTGATTTCTTTACATCTTTGCTAGAACTATGACTTTCCTTTAAAAACAAAAATCACAACCATCCTAGTAGGTGTGAAATCATATCCCCTGGTTTTGATTTACGTTTCTTTAATGATTAGTAACTCTGAACATCTTTTTATTTGCTTTTTGGTCATTGAATATCTTCTTTCCAAGAATATCTTTAGATCCTTCCCTATTTATCATTTTTTAAATTATTGAGTTGTAACAGTTCTTTATATATTCTAGATACAAGTTTCTTAACAGAAAATGATTTGAAAGTATTTTTTCTCATTCTGTGGGTTGTCTTTTCACTTTCTTGATGGTGTCTTCCATGCACTAAAGTTTTTAGATTTTGATAAAGTCCAGCTTATCTATTTGTTCTTTTTCAAAATTGTTTTGGTTATTCTAGGTTCATTGTAATTCCATATGAATTTTAGAATTAGCTTGTCAATTTCTATAAAGATGTCAACCAGTGTTCAGATAGGATTGCATTGGATCTGTAGATCAATTTGGAGATACTACCATTTTAACAATATTAATGATTCATGTGCGGATGCTTTAATTTGCATTTGTCTGAAGATGAATGATAGCACTTTTTCACATATACATAAACTTCCTTTGTAAAGTGTTTGTTCCAGTCTTTTATATGTTTTAAAAATTGGATTGTTTGCCTTTTCACTAGAGAGTTGTAGAAATTTTTTATCCTAAATACCAGTTATATGTATTTTGAATATTTTCTGCCAGAAGTGTGGCTTGCCTATCCATTTTTTATTAATAGTATCTTTCATGAGTAGTTGTTAGTTTTGATAAATTCTAATTTTTTTTTCTTTTGTAGTTGTTGCTTTCTATGTTCTGTCTGTGAAATCTTTGCCTGTGCTCAAGTTATATAGATATTCTTCTGTGTTTTCTTTTAGAACCTCTATAATATTAGCTTACATATTTCAAATTACTTTTTGTATATATTGTAAATAAGTTATTGAGATTTATTTTTCTTTATAGATATATATTCAGTCTTATAATATTTTTTATAATTTCTTTGAATCACCTTTTTCATAACTAGACCTTAGAGACATTCATTTTTTGTTTGTTTTTACCAACTCCAATTTTCACCTTTGCATTGTCTTCTGGTGGGCACTAAATTTTCATGGAGAAGTTTTAAGAAGCAAGGAAGAGGGGTGTCTGGGTGGCTCAGTCGTTAAGTGTCTGCCTTTGGCTCAGGTCATGATCCCAGGGTCCTGGGATCGAGCCGCACATCAGGCTCCCTGCTCGGCGGGAAGCCTGCTTCTCCCTCTCCCACTCCCCCTGCTTGTGTTCCCTCTCTTGCTGTCTCTCTCTCTGTCAAATAAATAAATAAATAAAATCTTAAAAAAAAAAAAAGAAGCAAGGAAGAATTCTGAATCTATAGGTGGTCAACTCTGCCGCAGTCAGCCTTGGCTGGATTCTTCTGTATGCTGTAGGATCAGAAGTTCTGAAGAGCAATGATAAGGATGCAGTTAGTTCACTGAAAGAGAAAACTAAGTTTGCAACCAAAGGTTCATTTTAACCCTGAAAAATCAATTGATAGAGAAACTTTAAATATTCATATATTTTCCTCTCTGTTAAAGCTTAAGCCTTGCTTTTTGGCTTAGACTGTCTTCTTCCATCAAACAACTGTGAGACAACCAGAATCCATATGATGATGACATTGATATTCATGTAGCACTAAGGAGTTTATAAAATACTCTCACAGGTAGTTGGTAAGTCAGTAATGATTCATCCAGTTAAATAAGAGAGATTAGTACATTGAAGCATTGAATGGCTAGGTAAGTTACCTGTGGTTATGAAGCTAGTACATGGTAAGGCTAGGGCTAGAATTTAGTTAGGGCTTCCGACTCTGTGAGTTCAGGGGCTGCACCTCAATGTGCTACTGGATAAGCATTCAGTTTTCTTGAGATGAAAAATAATGGTCTTGATTTCTGTGCATTTGCATCCATCTTTCTCCCTCAGCACTCTGTTCCCCTTCCCTTCCATCTCAGTCTATCTCTTGTCCACAGTGTCTGGCAAATGGCCAATGAAATGGTTGCAGGATAGCAACACACTTAGTGCCATACAAAATGTGCAGACAGCCTGTTTAGCATCCTCTCAGATTTGATCCTGTGGAATAATTTAGCAGATAGATTGAATTAGTTTTTATTTTGATATAGCAGTACGTTTCTCTGGAATATCACGGTGTTTTGTTTTTTAGTTCTCCTATCTTTAAAAAAATTTCTTTTAAATGTAATTGATACACAATGTTACATTAGTTTCAGGTGTACGACATAGTGATTCCACAAGATTCTACATTATGCTGTGCTCACCAGAGCTACCATCTGTTACCATACAATACTATTATAATACCATTGGCTGTGTTCCTTATACTGTTCCTTTTATTCCTGTGACTTATTCATCCCATAGCTGGAACCCTGTATCTCTCACTCCCCTTCACCCATTTTGTTCATCCCCTTACCACCTACTGCTCTGGCAACCACCAGTTTATTCTCTACTCTTGTCTTTTTTTTTTTTTTTTTTAGTTAATAGATTTTAATTTTTAGAGAAGTTTCAGGTTTACAGAAAAATTGAGCAGAAAGTCCAGAGAGTTACCTATCCTGTCACTCTTCTACACACACATTTTACCCTCTCATTAGCATTTTGTGTTAGTGTAGTACTTTTGTTACAATTGATGAGCCAATATTGACACATCATTCTTTTTTTTTTAAGATTTTATTTATTTATTTGAGAGAGAGAGACAGAGATAGCAATAGAGAGCACAAGCAGGGAGGAGAGGGAAAAGTAGGGAGCCCAACTCGGGGCTCTATCCCAGGACCCTAGGATCATGACCTGAGCCAAAGGAAGACGCTTAACTGACTGAGCCACCCAGGAGGACCTTGACACATCATTCTTTTTTTTTTTTTTTAAACATATAATGTATTATTTGTTTCAGGGGTACAGGTCTGTGATTCATCAGTCTTACACAACACACAGCCTCCCCAGTGTCCATCACCCAGCCACCCCATCCCTCCCACCCTCCTCCATTCCAGCAACACTCAGTTTGTTTCCTGAGATTAAGAGTCTCTTATGGTTTGTCTCCCTCTCTGGTTTCATCTTGTTTCGTTTTGCCTTCCCATCCCCTCTGATCCTCTGTCTTGTTTCTCAAATTTCTCATATCAGTAAGATCATATGATACTTGTCTTTCTCTGATTGACTTATTTCCCCTAGCATAATACCCTCTAGTTCCATCCATGTCATTGCAGATGGCAAGATATCATTTTTTTTGATGGCTGCATAATATTCCAGTGTGTGTGTGTGTGTGTGTGTGTGTGTGTGTGTGTGTGTATACCACATCTTCTTTATCCATTCATCTATTGATGGACATCTAGGCTCTTTCCATAGTTTGGCCATTGTGGACATTGCTGCTATAAACATTGGGGTGCTCGTGCCCCTTCAGATCACTACATTTATATCTTTGGGGTAAATACCCAGTAGTGCAATTGCTGGGTCGTAGGATAACTGTTTTCAACTTTTTGAGGAACCTACATACTATTTTCCAGAGTGGCTGCACCAGCTTGCATTCCCACCAACTGTGGACACATCATTCTTAACTGAAGCTTATAGTTTATGTGGAGTTTATGCTCAGTCATTGTGTTGTATAATCTATAGGTTTTGAGAAATGAATAATGGCATGTATCCACTATTACAGTGTCCTACGGAATGGCTTCTTCGTCCTAAAGAAAACCACTGTGCTCCATCTCTTCATCTCTCCCTCCCTACGACCCCTGGGAACCACTGATCTTTTTACAATTTTCATAGTTTTGCCTTTTCCAGAATGTCATATCATAGGAATCATATAGTATGTAGCTTTTTCAGATTGGCTTCCTTTACTTAGCAATATGCTTTTAAGTCTTCACTGTGTCTTTTCTTTTTTCTTTCTTTTTTTTTTTTCAAGATTTTATTTATTTATTTGCGAGAGAGAGAATGAGAGACAGAGAGCATGAGAGGGAGGAGGGTCAGAGGGAGAAGCAGACTCCCCGCCGAGCAGGGAGCCCGATACGGGACCCAATCCTGGGACTCCAGGATCATGACCTGAGCCGAAGGTAGTCGCTTAACCACCTGAGCCACCCAGGCGCCCCACTGTGTCTTTTCATGGCTTGAAACCTCATTTCTTTTTATCACTGAATAATATTCCATCATATGGATGTATCATAGCTTGTTTATTCTTTCACCTATTGAAGTATTCTCAACATCTGCTCCACTTTTATAAAGCATAAACATGGATTGTTTTTTGTTTGTTTGTTTTTTGAGAGATGGGAAAAATACCCTGCCTACTAGGAAGTGAATTAATTCCCTCTGTAAGGGCAAGGAGTGGGGAGTACAAATTCTCTTCACATCTGAAAAGTTTAAACTGGCCATACATCAACAGAAGAGCTTTGACTGAGAATCATTCCCATGATCCTCCAGAAAGGACACTAAGGGCAAAAGTGGGAATCTGAATAAACAGGTTCATGATCATTGTGAGAACCTCAAAGTGCATTAACTTTCTATAAAATACTTCTCTGTCTCTTTTCCAGTGTGCCAGGAAGCTGTCTGGGAAGCCTTCAGGACATTTTGGGATCGACTTCCTGGGCGTGAGGAATATCGTTACTGGATGAATTTGTGTGAGGATGGAATCACAACTATATTTGACATGGGCACAAATTTTAGTCAGTCTGTGGAACATAGAAGTTTAATTATGAAGGTAAGGGTACTAACAAGGGAAGAATTGCTGGACTATTGTAGGAGCACCTATAGACAGTTAAAGCCTGAAGGTAGAAAGAACAAATGCCAAATCCCTACATTACTTTTTGTTGTTGAATTAGGCTATTTGAGTGAGCTGCCATAGGGCATAGCCTAGTCTTTATATCCCTAGCTCTGGCGATTATAATAAACATTGTTAACCCAGTAAGAGCCTCAGGCTTATGTTTATAAATGTAAATATTTGGAAATAATACTCAGCAATGGTTTAGGCTAAGAATATAAATCTGTGAGATTTGAGCATTCTTGCCAAAATTTTGCATATTATCAATTCAGAGTAGCTACCAATGACACTAGTTAGGATAGAAATTTTAGTTCATTGAATAAATGTTTAGTAAAGTATAAATATAATTCTAATTAGTGAATTTGCTTACTTGTTCTCCTTCTTTTAGACTTAGTTTGTTCTTAGCAAAAGATAAATAAGCATGCATATAGACAAATTACCTGCCTACCTACCTTCTCCTTTTTTTTTTTTTAAGATTTATTTATTTATTTTAGAGAGAGAGAGAGCACAAGTGGGAGGAGGGGCAGAGGGAGAAGGGGAGGGAGGGAATCCCAAACTGACTCCTCACTGAGCCCGGAGCCCCACTTGGGCTGGATCCCACGATCCCGAGATTATGACCTGAGCCAAAATCAAGAGTCAGACACTTAACTGACTAAGCCACCCAGGACCTTCCCTTTTTCATGTAGTACATATGTATTCATGTAGCATGCACATATTCATGATAAGAAAATGAAGCTGTTTAGATACATGTGGCAAATTGCTCGTGCTGTCTGATATGCCCTGTATATATCCTTGTCCGTCCGTTTGAGTCCTAAATGTCTTCAGCTCAGATGTAACCTTCCTTATGAGGAATCAACCCCCAGTCTCACAGATTTAACTCCCATAATTCTTAGGGCTCCCATAATTCTTTAATGTTGTACCACTTGCATTTTATTATTATTAGTTGTGTGTGTGACTTCTTCTACTAGACTATGAGCTGAAGAGCAAGGATTATGTCATGATTTGTCATTTTGCCTTCCTGTGATAAAGTAAATATGTAATAGATATTTGTTGAAATAAAGTATATAAGCAATAATTGCAATGTCTTTTTCCTATTTGCTGCAATTTAGAAACTTTTACAAATATTATCTTAAATACTTGTTTTAAGTATTATATACCTTAGAGAGACTAAGGGAAGAATTATTGACTGAATAACTCTGAGCTTTTATTTTGAGTCTAATAGAATTAGATTAGTACATCTTAAAGTAATACAGTATATCATCCAATTCTTTCTACTTTGAAAATTTTATTTCTAGTAGAGGCATGCTATTAATTTCTTTCAACATTTGGCCCTACATTGGGATGATCTTATTAACTAGAGGCAAACTGGGGAGAGAAATACGGTCTGATAAATATGGGTGGATCCAAGACAAATTTTGCAGGGTTATAAACATTTTGAAGTTGTGCAGGTTTTTGTTTTTTAAAAATTTTTATTATGTTATGTTAATCACCATACATTAAATCATTAGTTTTTGATGTAGTGTTCCATGATTCATAGTTTGTGTATAACACCCAGTGCCCCATTCAGTACGTACCCTCTTTAATACCCATCACCAGGCTAACCCACCCCACCCCCCCCCTCCCCTTTAGAACCCTCAGTTTGTTTCTCAGAGTCCATAGTCTCTCATGGTTCGTCTTCCCCTCTGATTTCCCCCCCCTTCATTTTTCCCTTCCTACTATCTTCTTTTTATTTATTTTTTTTAACATATAATGTATTATTTGTTTCAGAGGTACAGGTCTGTGATTCAACAGTCTTACACAATTCACAGCACTCACTATGGCACATACCCTCCCCAATGTCTATCACCCAGCCACCCCATCCCTCCCACTCCCCACCACTCCAGCAACCCTCAGTTTGTTTCCTGAGATTAGGAATTCCTCATATCAGTGAGATCATATGATACATGTCTTTCTCTGACTGACTTATTTCAGTTTTTGTGTGTTTTAAAATGTACTCAACTTTTAATCATAGTAACTCACATTTTAAGCCAAGGTGTTACATTTTTTTCTTCTTTTTGTCACATTTAAAATTTTTAAAATTTATTTAATGTTTTTTAAGATTTTATTTATTTGACAGAGACAGTGAGCAAGGGAACACAAGCAGGGGGAGTGGGAGAGGGAGAAGCAGGCTTCCCGCTGAACAGGGAGCCCAATGCGGGGCTCAATCCCAGGACCATGGGATTATGACCTGAGCTGAAGGCAGACGCTTAATGACTGAGCCACCCAGATGCCCCAATTCTGTCACATTTTTTTTAAAGATTTTTATTTATTTATTTATTTGAGAGAGAGTCTTCTGTCACATTTTTAACTGTTCAATATTAATAATTATGAGAATAGCTACCAGTTATTTAGTATATTCCATGTACCAGGCCACATAGTAAGCCCATTAAAACATTATATTTAATAAACAACAAACCTACAAGGAGGTACTAATATCCCCAATTTATAGATAAGGACCTTAAGCATCAGAGTTATTCCTTATTCTAGATTACAAAACCAGATGGGCTGGAGCTTAAATTCAAACCCACTTCTCTTTTTTAAAAAGTTTATGTTTTTTCCCGTTTACCATTAGGCCTCCCTTCTCAGTCATTGCCACCTTTGCAAACTGCTAAATTTGCTAATATGGAATATTGCTAAATTTGCTAATATGGAATAGCTATTCAGTGAAAAAAAATACACATACACATATCTACACACACACATTTACATTTATATCAGTGTTGTCCATCTCAATTGTGTCCATAATAAAGGATTAGCTGACAGAGCAACAAATACACATGATATAGAGTTAGTATTACCATACAACAGCTTCTTTTTTTTTTACTATGTTAAGTCACCATACAGTACATCATTAGTTTTTTTTGTTTTTTTTTTACATCATTAGTTTTTGATGTAGCGTTCCCTGATATACAACAGTTTCTTATGATGTTACATTGGAAGGTATTTTTCACAAGCAGAAATTTTAGGAAGGTAAGATTAGAAGGCATTGGAAGTATACTTTCAGTGACATATTAGTACAACATGCAGACAAAGGGGGTGATATGTCACCTGGATTGAGTCTTAAATAACAAGTATAACAAGTTAGCTGAATGAGGAGTTTGGGAGGAACAGTCCAGGCAGAGGGGACAGCATAAGCCAGATGTTTGTAGGGAATGACTTGGGCCAACATACCAGAAGGGTAGATTAGAAGTGACAGGAGATCAGACTGTAAGAGTAGATAACTCTGTGGATGATAGGAAATCATTGAGGGGTTGTAAGTAGGTGAGTCACGGACTGATTGGACAGTTTTGAATTTTAAAAAGGTCATTATGGTCTCTATACACTATGGGGTGGATTAGAGGGATCAGGGAGACTAGTTACTACTCCATGCCTGAGGAATTGAGGGTCCTAACTAGACATGAGATACAGAAAGGAAGCATGAGGGATACAAATAGGGAAAAAGATTAGCAGGACTCTGTGATAGGTTGAATGGGAGTGTGAGAGGTTGAGGAAATGGCCTGGGAAACCTCCCTGTTTCTAGTTTGGATGACTAAGAACAAGAACTCAGGCAGAGAAGCAGTTTTGTATATGTAGGCGGGAGATTGAGTTCACTTTTGAATGTGTTTTGAGCCACCTGTGAAATGTGAATTGCCTGGAATTTAGGTATGAATCCAAGGAGAGTGGTCTGAGTTATAAATATAGCTTGTAGGAGTCACCAGGCTTGAGGTAGTAATTGAAAGCATTTAGAGTGGCTGAGATTATTCTAGGAGAGTTTGTAAGAGCAGTGAGTTATTTATAATTATCGTGAGAGTTATTTAGAATAATAGTTTCTCCGTTTTACAGATGAGAAAGTGAAGGATTTTGGGTTTTGCCTCCATTACCAAGCAAGAGAAAATAGGACTTGAAACTAGGTCTTCTAAGTTAGTGTTCTTTTTATTATATTGGTCTCAAAATAAAACCACTAATTTAGAGGAAACTTAGGAACAATTTGTTTTGGAATGCCCCAGAGGAATAATCCAATTATTGGTACAGTGTATCTTTTTTGCCTGAATTCTGGAGAAATGGATTTAGCATTTATTTTATCCACATGTTTATATTATTCTAGTATAAGAGTTTCTATAAATATGTTAGATCACAAAAAACTTTGATTCTCAGTCCATGGAAGGTTAAAGTAGAACTCTACCAATCTCCAATTTGTAGATCTTTTTGAAATGATTAACAAGTAAAGTCTGTTAATCTGTGCCCATTAAAAAAAAGCTCAAGAACTTTTGGAAACATAAACAGAGACTGAGTGCCAGGACATTCCCACGGTCCCCAAACAAACTTGGCATTGTTAGTACCTTGCTTTAACTATTTGTCTAACCATAGAAAATAATAGCATAGATTTATAAAAGAACAATATAATGTTAGGGCATTAGTGTTTTCTATGCAATAAATTTCATTTACTGCTTAATAACTGTCATTAACTCACAGAGTCATTTTTATCTTTGTTTTCCTTAGAAACTGACATATACAAAGGAAACTGTAAGCAGGTGAGTGTCTTTTTTCCCTCTAATTTTATTTTGGCAACAGAGACGTGTAATACCTATTCCAAGACTCACACCAAATTTAATGACCCCTTTCTATTTTCTTGCTTTTCCGGCAATGACCAGGGCTGTGGGTTGGTCCCAAATGCTTTTCCTCCTGTTGAGGCCACTTCCCTTTCAAGACTACCATCACAGCCACTGTGCTTGTTTACTTTCTAACCTTGCCAGGAGGCAGAATTGTTCCTTTCTCTTGGGTGAGAAAATAGATTTCTGGAAATGGAATATGGAATGATCTACTTTTGTTGAGGTTTATGGGCTAAGAGTAAAAATGTTATGAAATGGTACATCGTAGTGGCAGTTTATTAAATGATGGTTGGTGGTATGGATCACTTTACTGAGAAATGATGATTATGAGCTTGAAATATAGGAATGACACAACCTTGATGAATCCTCTAATATTAGGATTCTTGGCTCTACTGGCCTTTAGTCTTAGGATTAAGGTCATTTCTGGCTCCTGAGCAATAGCAGTACAAAGCTGCTCATGGAAGGTGAGGGATTTTGAGTGTGTAAGGATTAAAGATTTCAATTCTGTCCATACTCAGAGTATCTAGATTATGCCAGTATGTGGGTAATTATATAGAAAAACACCATTAGGGCATAAAATCCAGGTCAGAGTCCAGAATTTTGCTTCAAATTAGAAAAAAAGACAGGCTGAAAAACCAGTTAAGTGAGTCAGTGTCTAGAGATCCAAACTGGGCAGCAAAGTCCAGGCAAAAGCAGAGTTGGAGTACACATGTGAGTGCTAGTGGGGTATGTGTAGGTTTCAAATCAAACATGAGTAAACAGGAGGGAAGGGGACTTTGTGTGATCTCACTTATTCATACAGCTAATGTTACCACTGAGTCTCTGCTTGGGACTGGGATTGAGCACCCATTTAGATGTTGGGCCACATGGTTTCTTGGATGTGTGCTCTTCACCACCTAGAACAGAGCTTGGAAGTTCCTTGTGATTGCTATTCAACACACAGGCAGTGAACTAAATACTCTGCTAAGTCCCACCAGTCGTAGTAATCTTCATGGTTGTACCTAATGAAAATGATAGCACCTTTTCCACATCTTATATGGTTAAGAAGCTTGTAAATACCGTAGTACTCATGGCATTTAACCTGGAAGAAGCTCTGAAGTTTACTTGGGAAGTGGACGTAAGCAAGTGTATAGCTTGTGGGTTATTATAAAGTGGTGGAAGGAGGGTTATCTGAAATAGGATGGACAGTTGTAACACCATATGAGGCTGGTTGTGGCTCATCACACAGTAGGTAGCTGGGAGATGTTTAAGGTGTAGTGTGTGTATGTTTTAAGTCTTTCTGTGGGACTCACTTCAACTGGGTGCAGTTTTCCACAGCTACTTAGCATTTCTTAGAATGAGATTATGTATAAGTAAAGAAGAAATTTTGCACTGTGGTCAGTTGTCTCCTACTGTATTAATCACATTGGAACAAATTCACAAATAAGCATCATAGCAGGACTGACTGGATTATATATTTTTATTGCTAAGGCACTGTCTGTAGTAGGTATAATAAGGGACTCAAAATATTATTTACCATTCTTAGAAAATAATGTATGTATAAAAATAAAAACACATATGAAAATATAAGTGAATTTTGAGAATTTTAAAGTTTAAAGCTTCTTTCCCATGTAACTAGAGCAGACCAGGTTGGGGTGGGGTGAGAACTGCCAACTGTGGTAGTTGCTGAAAGTGGTGACCTGGGGTTAGGTAACCTGGGAGCGAAACCCTGGGAGGGGCCTAAGAATTCTCTAAGCCATCTTTCTCCCACTTGAGTACTATAGTGATCCACTGAAACCCTTAATTTGCCCACCATTTTTCTATATTCAAATTTATTTTTATGATTTTTTTTTGAGGTTAGTCTTGTATTCTCTGTGTTGAGATTCTTGTGTTAGGTTTTATTGCTGCTGTAGCGAATTACCACAAACTTTGGTAGTTTAAAACAACACAAATTTGTCCTACAGTTATGTCATTCAGAAATCTGACATGGGTCTTAAGGTGTTGCCAGGTTTACATTCCTTTCTGGAAGATCTAAGGGAGAAACTGTTTTCTTACCTTTTCCAGCTTCTAGAAACTACCCAGATTGCTTGGCTCATGACCCCCTTCCATCTTCAAAGCTAGTCATGGCCGGTCAAGTCTTTCTCACATTTTATCACTCTGACACTCTTCTGCCTCCTTCTTCCACATTTAAGGATCCTAATGATTATGCTGGATCCACCTGGATGAACCTGGTTATACTCCCTATTTTAAGGCCAGCTGATAAGCAACCTTAATTCCCCTTTGTATGTAACTTAACATATTCACAGATTCAGGGGAGTAGGATGTGGATGACTTTGAGGGGCCACTATTCTACTTATCAAACTTCTTTTCTGTGACTTAAATTGCTGCTTCTATGTGAACTCAAACCTAACGTGCTGACATACAACTTGCACCAAATACTCTGTTCTGTATCACTTTAAGCTTCCCCTACAATCATTTGCTTTGTGTCTTTAAAAAATTTTTTTTCTGCCTTATTTAGGATCTCACATCCCATCTTAACTCTTACACATCTTCCTACCGTTGTTTCTTTGTCTCTCCTGAGTCTTCAGCTTCTCCCATTACTAACTCCTTATTAGCATTTGAACATACTCAAGTCTCTCCCATGTTACCAAAAGGCCTTCCTCCAGCCCTTTATACCCATTATAGCTGGGTATCTTGAAAGCATCTCCACTTAGCTCCACTCAATGCTTAACCACCTGCCTTCTGGACTTACTGTGAAGTCTCAATAACCAGTACAAAACCCCACCTGAAATATGTGCTCACCAAATAGTTGTTAAATGAATAACTGAGTTTCTGCTCAATTACTCAAGTTTATTATCAGGTCTCTGGTAATATTCTTGGTGTAAGGACTGTTCTTTGGCATTTTTTTTTTTTTGTACCTCAGTTAACTAATATTTGTCATTGAGGATGCCTATCATAGATCAGAAAGCAAAATATACATTTTTTTTAGCAAATATTTTATTCTGTTTGGGACACGTGTCCCTCTTCCATTACCCTCTGTTTTATATTTGTTAAGCATCTCCTAGTTTTATAATGCTTCTGCATATATAATATCTTATTTAGCTTTCATTATACCTTTGGGAAATAGATAGTATAAGGAGGTATTCCTGTTTTGGAGATTAAGTTCTTGTGGCTCAGAGCAACTGAGATATTTCTCTAAGGCATAACAAAGTTAATGATACTTCTGGGACTAGCACCCAGGATTCCTGGTCCTGTGCCTTGAGTTCTTTTGTTGTCCTGTGCTGATCATAGTTAACAGATTCAAGAGCAAAGCAAAGTATAGAAAATTGTCAAGGGGAGTAGTAATCTAGATAGGAAATTATGCTTGGCTTGTTTTTAAATTTATACTCCATGTGTCTCTGATATCTTTTGGTACAATCTCACCTGAATTCTGATAGGATGAGGCAGTAGAGGTGAGTAATAAATTATGTGCTGGATGAGCTGAGGAAATGAGAAAGTAGGAGGTTGTTCACTGCTGGTATTAAGCTAAAGGTCTTAGCTGAACGATTTCACATTTGTGGTTTGGCCTAGAAATGAAAGTAGTATTTCTGTCTCCAAACTCAATACAACTCTGTGTTCTATTCTGTTGTGACATTTTAGGGGATCCCTGCAGGAGGCATACCTAATGAGAACATGTTGAAAGGATTCTTGTTGTTAAGTGGTTTTTTTCCCTCTTTTTTGAAAGGAGAGTGAGAAAATGAGGGATTAAGTGTTGGACTGTTGGACAAGAGATTTGAATTACTGAGCATTGCCTACTTACCATCTTTAAAATGTTATTTTGAATTCAGTAAGTGAAATCTAGTTCTACTGAAGTAAACAAACTTCTCTGTTGTGAATACTTCCCTAGAGAATTAGCTTAGATTTACTTTATTTACTTATTTTTTAGTTCCAATACTTCTCTTTTTAAATTTAAAAAAAATTTTATTTTTAATTGAAGTATAGTTGACATACAATATTATGTTAGTTTCAGGTGAGCAACATAGTTATTCAACAACTATATACATTACAAAATGCTTACCATTATAAGTGTAATTACCATCTCTTACCATACAAAGTTATTGTTATATTATTGACTATATTTCCTATTAATCATCTTTATCCCTGTGACTCATTTATCAAATGTGATCTTGATGTGGGGGATAATTTGACTGAAACCAGGTGAGGTCTGGTTACTTTGCCATGTTGTTCCAACTTCCTGTTCTAGTTACTTGTGTTGTGCTTTGGTCCCCTCTGTCTTACTTTGACCTCTTTGTTCTTCATGCCTGGTTTCTCTCCATAGCTCTCCAACTTTGATTGGGTTTCCCTTCCTTTTTATGGGACCTTATACACCTTGACTTTTAGGTTGTTAAGTTTATGTAGGCCGTTATTACAACCAAGTGAAACCATCTTGGTTGCCCTTCTAGTCAATATGGCTCGCAGAAAGGCCATGTTGTGAGGAATTAAGATGAGTGAGAGAGAGGTTTCTGGAATCAGGTGGGCCTGTTTTACATCATAGTTCCTCCATTGTCTAGCTGTGTGACTCTGAGCAAATTCTTAACCTCCTCTAGTATTAGTCTCCTCATATGTATAAATGGGGATAATAGTATCTTCCTTTTAAGATTGTTGCCAGAATTAAATGAGTTAAGCAAGATGAAACACTTAACACAGTACTTGACACATGATAAACTTAGTGGTACTCATTCTTGCTGTTGTTATTATTGAAAGGGGAATTAGATATGGTTAGGAATTTTAGGTATGACCTTGGGCCATATAAGTCATTGTGTCACCCAGGAAAAATTGCTTTATTCATTTGGACTTCGTTTTTTCCTCTATAAAATGAAGGTATTGGCAAGGTGTTCTGCCTGTGGACAACTGATAGACCCTATTCAAGCCTGATTATGTTAATATCTGTCCCCAAACCATTTGAATCTTATTTGTTTTAGCTCTACTCCCTGCAACCCGAGAAGCCTCTTGATGCTTTCTCGTCACCTAGGCCCTTTCTCCACTCATCATTCATCATAATGACTTATCCAGATGTTGTATTCTTTAGGTTCTTCTAGATGACAGCTCACTGAGAAGCAATTTCCTGCAAATGCTTCTAAATAACCAAAAGTGATGGGTTTGGTATAATGGTTTAAAATGTTCTTTTTTCTAGATGGTATTTTTAAAAAGCTGAAAAATCTTTATGAGATTTTTAAAAACTCGGTTTCTCAAATTTTCTTTCTTCTTTTTTTTTTTTTAAAGATGTTTTAATTTTTTAAGTAATCTCTACACCCACTGTGTGGCTTGAACTTACAGCCCTGAGATCAAGAGTTGCATGCTCCCCCAACTGAGCCAGCCGGGTGCCCCAGTTTCTCAAATTTTCTACCAAAGCCTGGGAGTTTAGGAAACATGGTCCTAGTTGACTCCCCCACTGGAGTTCCAGTCATGAAATATCTTTGAATTATCATATTTAATATCTTAATTTTAATTTTAACTTTATATTCAATTTCACAATGTAGCCATATTTGTTTTAATATTAAAATATTTTGAATTACACATCAATTCTTACTTAGTTCCCCACCTGCCTATGCTTCAAGTAATATTGATGCTTCAAGATGTCTGCCATGTTTATCTGTTGGCTTTGAGTAACCCCCTGTCCCACCACCATGACCTAATTTAGAGCAATAGGGCAATCTAAAGGAGTTGTCTGAAGATGGGACTCACTGGCACATTGGCAAGTCTGTGAGGGAGACATTTTTGACTATAATTGAATCACCTTAGGAAGCTCACTTGTATAAAGTTGAACACAGTTTTCAACCCTTAACAGTAACGTAATCACCATCCAGGAGGTGTAATCACCTTTGAACTCCTTTGTAAAAGGCTAACATAACATCCCTTTTCCCTTAGGACATATCCATATACAAACTTTAAAGTTCTAAAACTTCCTAAGGGGTGCCTGCCTGGCTTAGTCAGAAGAGCATGTGACTCTTGATCTTGGGGTCATGAGTTTGAGCCCCACATTGAGTGCAGAGATTACTTAAATAAATAAAACTTTAAAACAAATAAATGAGACTTTCTAAAAGTATAGTAGTACTTTAAATTTTATATTTTTGGGGTATGTGGAAATTTGGACTTGCAGAAACCCACTTTCTTTCCTTTAGAGGAGGGACTTCTCAGACTATCTTTTTTTAATAAAGATTTTATATTTATTTATTTATTTGAGGGGGAGGGGCCGAGGGGGAGGGAGAAGCAGACTCCCCACTGAGCAGGGAGCCTGACTTGGGACTCCATCCCAGGATTTGATCCCAGTACTCTGGGATCATGACCTGAGCCAAAGGCAGACACTTAACCGACTGAACCACCCAGGTGCCACTCAGATTACCTTTTGATCTTCTCTTGTCGTTGCAAAGTGGCATGGTTAAAGGATAGCTGGGTGACTTGCAGCCTGTTAGCAGTGTGGCCTACAGCAAGTCATTTCTCTAAGCTTGACTTTCTTTATATAAAAAAATTTTATGATTTCTATGATCTGTCCAATGAGATGAGATCTGTGCTTATATTTTTTTCCTTAGCAGCAGGTACTCTCCTACCTTACTATGTGTTACATTTGTAATCATTTATTTGCCATCTATTTTCTTTTTTTTTTTTAAGATTTTATTTATTTATTTGAGAGAGAGAATGAGATAGAGAGAGCATGAGAGGGAGGAGGGTCAGAGGGAGAAGCAGACTCCCCGCCGAGCAGGGAGCCCGATGCGGAACTCGATCCCGGGACTCCAGGATCATGACCTGAGCCGAAGGCAGTGGCCCAACCAACTGAGCCACCCAGGCGCCCCTTGCCATCTATTTTCTGTAAGACTGTAACTTTAATAGATCATGTGTGTTTATCCACAGCTATATGCCAGATGTCTTGTTCACTCCCTGGCTAATAATATTTGTTTATTCTTTTATTCTAAAAATAACTATTTAGTGCCTACTAAATGGCAGGTACTATTTTAGGCTGGAGATAGAGTAAGAATATGGCAGGCAAGGTTCTTAATCTCATAGAATTTATATTGTTATGGCAGTCCTGTTTAATAGAACTTTCTGTGATGATGGAAATGTTCTTTACTGTGCTGTCCAATATGGTAGCCATTAGGCACATGTGACTTTGGAGCTTTTGAAATGTGGCTAGTGTGAATGAGGATCAGAATTTTAAACTTTATTTAATTTTAGTTAATTTAAATTAGCACATATATCCAGTGACTACCATGACAATGCCATTCTAGAGGATCAAGAGATTGGAGACAGAGATAAAGAAGGAGATAAATAAATCAACAAATAATTTCACATACTAATAAAACTGAGAAGAAATCAACACAGGCTGATGGAATAGTAAGTAGAGGAGTACTTTAGTGTGATTCTACTTGAGCAAAAACTAACAAATGTAAAATGAATTATGAAGACTATTATTTTTTAAACTTTGTTAAATCAGTACTTCCTTGGGTTTGGGAGCCCTGTTTGAAGACCTAGTGAATTCCTTTTTGGAAAACAAACCTCAAAATATATGCACATATTTCTATCATCTTTATTAACTTTAAACATCTTTTTTAACCTTAGCCCTGAATTGTCATCTCCGTTTCCTGTTGGTGATACCTCAACATCAGGAGGTATGCTCTTGTGCACTTACTCACTTTTCTTTTTAAATTATTTATGCCTTAAGATGATCTTGTGAGCAAGCACACATTTCAGCTCACATTTAAAAAGTATCAGGTTTCTCTTTCCTTATGTGTTGTTCAAGAGTCTCAAGAAGAAGTGATTGTGTTTTCATTAATTGTATGGCATTATGTTGTGGTTACTTAATGATCTTTAATTATTAAGTCTAATAAAAATCAGAAAGCTACTTAAAAAAAAGTACAACCTAAAGAATTACTTTAAGGCAAACACTCTGTAACCACTACTTATGTCAACAGGTAGAACCTTTCTAGTTCCACCATTTGTCATTTGCCTTGCAAGAGTTTCTCAGAGTAAGGATTTTCTGATTGCCTTGTGGTATACTTTAAGGTGTTCCTTTGATCTCTGTGTCTCCTATGAATTGGTGTTGCTTTATTTATTTTTAATTTTTTTAAAAAAGCTTTTGTTTATTGGAAATTTCAAACATATACAAAAAATAAGAATTGCACAATGAGGCCCAGCTTCAACAATGATCAGTTCATAGCCAGTCTCCAACCTTCACCCACTTTTCCTATCTGGTGGTATTACTTTTTTCAGTATCTGTCCTCTTTACTAGATAGCTCCTTAAGGATAAAAATTTTGTCTATATCCTTAGCATCTTGCTTGCATAGTGGCTGGCATAAGTAGATGCTCATTAAATGCTGTTGAATGAATGAATGAATGAGTTATAATTATTTTCTGTTCTAGGAAGATCTATGCAAATGTGTCTTAAGGTTAAAATATACTGAATTTCCAGGATGGAAAAACAAATGACTTACAGGAATTGTTTTGAAGTCAGTTTGTTATTTCCTGATATGATTCTGAATTCACATACATGATTTTGTTTTTCTACTTAGGTGCTATTCTCAGTGTTCCATATCCAGGGGTGACCTCCTATGAAGGTACCTCAGAGAACATCAAGGAGAGGCCTGAGGAGAGTGTAAGTGATGCTGTGTTTTGTTATTTAGTTTCTAACATGAAGAATAGGGGTTAAGAGAGACTTATATTCCATTGCCAAACTACACAAGACTTCATGTGGTTTCCTTTATGGAGGTATTGTGGATTTTAAAACCAGTGTATTAAAAAGAATCTAAGATTCCTTGGAGAGCTGAGTCAATCTGCTTTTGCAAGAGAGAGCTTCATGTTGTAAATGAAATGACTTGGAGCCTGGGTAATTGTCATCATGGTAAACTCATGGTCTCTTGTGGGCTATGTGAAATAATTTACTGTGGGGGTTTTGCCTATGTAATTCTATCTCATAATAGATCAGGACTTAGTCTTCTCTTCTCCAGAGGGAAAGGATGTAGATTTTATGTAGTTAAAAAATCAAGAAATACTGTGGTTTTTAAATGCATCATTATTAACAGTAACCTGTCCACCAAACAATATTAAGTTTACTTTCAATAACATTCAGGTTAAAAAAAAAAAGTATATAGACTGCCCAGGAAGATAGAAATATTTTGTTAGAAATTTTGTTAAATATGAATTTTTAAAATTTGAGGGTTCATAAATCCTAGATTACTTAATATAGTGTAAATTCTGACTGAACATATTCACTAGAAAGGTGTAATTTAGTTACCTTGTACCTTTTCTTCCCAGCTTGGACATTTTAATTTATATGAAATCAGGTTAAGTCACCCTACTCTGCCCTACCACTTTCCCTGTCACTGAACAAGGCTGGTAGTAATGTGGGATCCGTGAGTGGAAGCTGGAATCAATACATTCACCCTCCGTACAACTTTGTCCAGAGTAGGTGGTGCTGGGAAATATTGTCATTAAATAAATATTTGTGAATGAATGAATAAAAAGTGATACTGTGGTTCTGAACTTGAAGCAGAATAGTTGTGGGTTTAGGTCTAGAAACATTCATAGAATGAGATAGAATTCTCTATAGTTAAGAAATGAAGGATTTATGTATAATCAATTGGAATATTAATATCCCCCCAAAAAAGACTATTTGAAGCCAATTTATAGAGTAAGAAAACAAAGCAGTATAGACATACCTAATAAGAATTAGATTGCTTGTACTTCTAGTTCAAAATGAAGCCTGAAGTTTCACTTTTACAGTTCAATTTTTTTCCTAATGCATTTTCCATCTACTGTTATAGAAATTATATACTTTATTTCTGTTTTGTCAGTAGTTTTCCTATAAGTTACATAATATATATTATTGTTTAGCATTTATAATATTTATATTATATGTATAAAATATATAAACCCTATAAATTACCTCCTAAGTTATAATGTATAATCTAGCAAAATTTAAGTTTTTCAGAATCTTGATCCTTGTCTTAAGCAATGCAGGAATATTAGAACATTGTAATTCAAATAATCACCCTACTGATTTATATTCTATTTTTTGATATTTTTGTTCTTTCTTTCTCTCTTTTAGTTCTCTCTTTTCAATCCCACAAATTAGACTGTATTATATTTGTTCTTTTTTAAGAAATTAAAAAAAATATTTTATTTATTTGAGAGAGAGAGAGAAGGGGGAGAGGAACAGAGGGAGAGGGACAAGCAGACTCTTCACTAAGCCCAGAGCCCCACATGGGGACAGATCCCAAGACCCTGACGTCATGACCTGAACCGAAATCAAGAGTCGGATGCTCAACCAACTGAGCCACCCGGCACCCCTATATTTGTTCTTTTTTTTTAGACTGTATTTTTTTTTTTAAGATTTATTTATTTATTTTGAGAGAGTGAGAATGAGAGAGAGAGAGAGAGAGTACATGAGTGGGGGAGGGTCAGAGGGAGAAGCAGACTCCCCGCCGAGCAGGGAGCCTGACGCGGGACTCGATCTCGGGACTCCGGAATCATGACCTGAGCCGAAGGCAGACACTTAACCATCTGAGCCACCCAGGCGCCCTTTTTTTTAGACTGTATTATATTTGTTTTTGATAAAGTTTGTTTTACATCTACCTGGAAGTTTATTATTTTATTTTCTTAAAATTCTTTATTGCATTTTAGATCTCTCTTCTAGGATAATTTTCTTTTTGAAATATATGCTCCTGATATTACTAAGAGTCTCTCATTTGTTCGAGTTTTTGATCATCTGAAAATTTCTTTATTATCTCCTTATTATAGAAAAAATTTAAATCTGTACTAAATTCTAGACTGAGGGTTTTTTTTTTTTTCTGGTCAAGGTTTTATTTCACTATATTCTAACTTTTGTTGTTAATACTGAGAACTGTCAGTTCAGTTGTTTTTCACTTGTGTATCAGTTCAGTTGTATTCCTCTGGCTGTTTTCTTTGTCTACTTTTAAGATATATCTCTATCTCCTCTCTATATATCTCTATCTATCCATACACATCTAATCATAAGACATAACAGCTGAAAATTTCTCAGAATTCATGATATCCATAAGGCTTTACATTAAGGAAGTACAACAAATCCAAAGCAAAATAAATAAATATACTCCTATACCCATTTTTTGTGAAATACTATATAGTATACTACTATATACACACACACATATATATATACACTTTTATATACATAAGTATACTATAGTATATATACTGTAAGTATATATATATATATATATACTATAAATACATATAGTAGTATACTATATGGTATTTGGCATTCTGCAGTTTAACAAATATGGATATAGGAGAAATTCTCAGCTATTACCTTGTGTGACTGAACCTCTGACCTCCTCCTTTTATCCTTCATGTTTGTTAACCACTCTTTAATAAGTTCCATTTCTTTGTCTCTCTGGGTTAGAATTAGGTATGTGTTCCAGTTTACTAATTCTTCCTTCAGCTTAGTTTAATTGGTTGTTCAAATTGTCTGTTGAGTTTTTAGAATCCTTGCTTTATGTGGCAGCTTTTTTTTTTTTTTTAATTGAAGTATAGTTGACACACAATGTCACATTAGCTTCAGGTGTATGGCATAGTGATTTGACAAGAATGTCCTTATACTATCCTCAGTACAAGTGCAGCTATCATCTTTACTAGTGTATGGGAGTCTTTGATCTGACCTTTCAACATGTACACACCTTTTACTTTTTATCCTATCCCTTTGTGGTATTTAAAACTCAAGCCTAGGTTACAAAGTATCAGAGGATATAACCATGTACTCACACAACACTGATTCACCTCTCTGGATTTTTCTAACCTGTTTTTCCTGACCCCTTGGCATTTTCTTTACTTTCTTGCAAACCAGCTATGCATTAAAACTTTTAAAAATATTTATTCATCACTTAAGGCATTCTCTAGCAGCAAGATTACTAAGGATATTTCTTTTATAATAGTACTGGAAATGGAAGTCTCTGTCCAAATTTAGCAAGATAAGATTTAATATCAAAAATGCAAAGTTTTATATAAAATTCCTTAAGACTAAGAGTTTTTGTTGATGTTAGTCTCTGTATGAATCAGTAGTATGATGCAGTTACTGGGGTGAAACTAGTAAAAGCTAGTGTAGTTTTAGGTTGTATTTGTAGAAATACAGAATCTATTATAAGAGAGGTGGTGGTATCCTATCATATTTTAATTGATCAGATCTGATTTGTGTATACCATACTCTAAGGAAGGTATTAAGAGCCTGAGAAATGTCTGGAGGAGAAAATCTAGGGAAGTCAGGGGTGTCATGATAGCTGTTTGTACTCATTTGAAGGGCTCTCTGGTGACTACAGTTTTTATATATGTCCTAGATTACAGAACTGAGATCAGTGGTAGAGCTTACAGGGAAATATATTTGGGCTTAATATTAAGAGCTTTGGGTAGAAGTGGATGAAACGGGTAAAGGGAGTCAAAAGGTATAAATTTCTAGTTAAGAAATGAGTAAGTCATGGGAATGTAATGTACATGATGGTGACTATAGTTAATAGTACTGTGTTGCATATTTGAAAGTATTTAGGAGAGTGGATCTTGAAAGTTCTCATCACAAGAAAAAGAAATTTGTAACTGTGTATGGTGATGGATGTTAACTGGACTTACTGTGATGATCATCTTGCAATACATACAAATATGGAATCATTACGTTGTACACCTGAAACTAATATGTGTTTTATGTCCATTATACCTTAATAAAAAATGCCAAAAAAATATGAGCGCCTGATATGTGCCAGTTACTGTTTCAGGAGGCATACTGAGAAGTAAACATACAGTGTAATTACCTTGTGGTATGTGCTATGATAGGGTAAATGCAGAATGAAATAGGAGAGCATTAGGAGCATTGGGTCAGTTTTGAGGGGCAGTTCTGAGAAATTTTCTGGTGGGGGTGAGGTCTGAATTGAGGATGAATATAAGTTACCAGAAGAAGAGACAGGGGAAAGGTCTTGGCCTGAGGTCTCAAAACAAAGGGAGTAGCACTGCTTAGGCCAGAGAGAATTAGCATATTCCTAGGTCTGCAAATAGGAATTTAGCATGGCTGGAGTGGATAGTGAAAGGTGGGGGAAAGGGAGATGGGGCTGGAAAAGCGAAGCAGGAACCAAGTTGTGGAGGGCAAAGAAGAAAGAAAAAAAATTAAAGAACTTCCCAAACATGAGAGCTTTTTTTTTTTTTTAAGATTTATTTATTTATTTATTTGAGAGAGAGAGAGAGCACAAGGAGGTGACAGAGGTAGAGGGAGAGGGAGAAACAGAATTCCCACTGAGCAGGGAGTCTGATGTGGGGCTCCATCCCAGGACCCCAGGACCATGACCTGAGCCAACGCAGATGCTTAACCGGCTGAGCCACCCAGGTGCCCCGAGAGCATTTTTTTTTTTTTTGAAATGTAATGGTCTGCCTTTGAAAATCATGACTCTTTCTCATCAGGCCATTTAAACTGAGGATGAGCAACCATTTGTCAGGGATATTGTAGAGAGAATTCAGGCATCCAAAGGGATAGTGGGATCTTTGAGGTACTTTCCTATTCTGAGATTTTGAAGGTCTCTGATTATGTGATCTATCACGGATGAAAAATGGTACACTGAAGGAAAGCCTCTGTAGTCTCTTCCTGACTCTGCCATTGGCTTGCTGGGAGCCCTTAGGCTAGCCATTCTTCCATTCCAACCCCTTCTCTTGTGTATCACAATGGAGGGACTTAGATGGATGAGCTCAAGTGTATCTTCCGTGTAGCACTTTTTACCTTAGCATTGTAGTAGTGATACTTTCTTTCCCTCATTCTACATTTACTATTGGAATTCTTCTGTAAGACACTATTGTCACTTCTCATTTATTTATTAAATCATTTATTTCCATCAATATGGACTCATGGATATTTATTTTATTCTTTGGATTATAATCCATTATTTGTTTTTCAAATTGTTGCAGCTTTGGACTGGAAGACCTGGATTTTACTGTTACAGAGTACAAAAAGTTCATTGATACAGTTTCAGATTCCATGTAGTCACTAATCTTTAAGAAACTACCCCTTGTTGAGTTTGTTATAGTATACAAAAAGAATCTCCACAATTATCTGAAAAGGCTGTTAATATAATTCTCCCTTCCCTAATACTTTTATTCATATATTTCAACTAAAGCAACATATTACTGATTGAATGCAGAAACAGATATGAGAATCCACTGTCTTCATCTGAAGCCAACCAAATTAAAGAATTTATAAAAATATAAACAATGTTACTCTTTTCATTCATTTTTTATTTTGCAAAATGTTATTCCTTTTTACAGCATAAAGAGTTTATTATTTTTAAATGAATTAAGAAATATTCTTAAAAATTTCCCCTTTAATTTTTTGTCTGGTAAATATCTATAGATACAACCCATAAAAAACAAATTTCTTTGTGTTTCTTAATGATTTTTTTTTTTTTTTTTTGCGAGAGAGAGAATGAGAGAGAGCACGAGAGGGAGGAGGGTCAGAGGGAGAAGCAGACTCCCTGCTGAGCAGGGAGCCCGATGTGGGACTTGATCCCGGGACTCCAGGATCATGACCTGAGCCGAAGGCAGTCGCTTAACCAACTGAGCCACCCAGGTGCCCAATGATTTTTAAGAGTTTAAATGGGCCCTAAGACCAAAAAGTTTGAGAACAACACTTCTAGACTATTTTTAGATGATACTATTAGCATAGTCAACTCTTTTTAAACTCACGGATGATGTGATAGAAGATGGTCAACTTTGGTGGTTATCTGTGGAAAATTTTCTGTCTTTCCCTGAAGCAGTCATTGTGTGCTCAAAGGAATGTACAAATGCATAGTAATTTTAATGTTAGCCTGTGTCTTAAAGTCCACCCAATTAGTTCCAAAGTCAGATACTGTATAAAAGGTCATCATTAGAAGTTTCTTTTGACATAGTGTCTGATATGTACCAATCAGGAGATACTTGTTGGTTGTATGAGTAAACATTGACATTTATTGTTTTTTTCTCTAAAAATCCAGATTAGCAATGAAATTGAGAATGTGATAGAAGAATCCACAAAACCAGCAACTGAGCAGATTGCAGAATTCAGTATCCACCTTTTGGGAGAACAATATAGGGAAGAACTACAGGATTCCTCCAACTTCCACCACCAGCACCTTGTAGAAGAGTTTATTTCAGAGGTGGGTGATTTTTTGGTTTGTTTTTCATCTTTTCTTTTCTTTTCTTTTCTTTTCTTTCCCTTTCCCTTCCTCTTCCTTTTTCTTTCTTTCTTTCTTTCTTTCTTTCTTTCTTTCTTTCTTTCTTTCTTTCTTTCTTTCTTTCTTTCTTTCTTTCTTTCTTTCTCTCCCTTCCTTCCTTCCTTCCTTCCTTCCTTCCTTCCTTCCTTCCTTCCTTCCTTCCTTCCTTCCCTCCTTCCTTCCTTTCCTTTCTTCCTTCCTTCCTTCCTTCTTTCTCTCTCTCTTTCTCTCTTTCTTTCTTTTTTAACTAACAAGACATTTTCCTTGGGTTGTAAATTTCCCATATTCACAAAACTGGTTAAAGGTAGGTTAAGGAATCAAGCTCTTCTTCTCTTTGGTTCAGAGGGCTGTGACTTAGCCACTTTTTCAGAAAACTCTGTAAAAAGATCACAGAAAGATAGATGAGTTTATTTAATTGAAGCAAAATCTGACACACCTTTACCATCTGCTAACAAGTAAATACTATTTCCAAACTTTTGCTGCATAGCCAAAGAAGAATGTATTCAATGGAATGGTTTTAACTTGACAGTATTTGGAGAAATGAGTATCTTTAAGAAACTACATACAGTGTATTGTTTTTCTTGGAGGAACATTAAACTTAATTTCTTTTAATTTCCTATTTAATATTCTTTTTCTAAACTGAAAAATTTGGGGTAGTTAACACATAAGTAGTACACAGTACCAAGTTCAAAAGGACAAAAGGGTGTCCAATGAAAAGTAAATTTCCCTCCTATCTCTGTTCCTTGGTTGGAGGTATTTTTTAAAAGGTGGTTTTTCTTTCTTTTTTTTTTTTTAAAGAATCATGCATTAGACTCTCCTGCAACTTTAATTTGCAGAAGAATTCTATATAGGACTTGAACTCAAGATTCTTTCAGTCAAAAATGATCCATAGATGGCCCCCTTCTTGTGTGCCTTTCCTCTTGTGTGGTAAGGCATTGAGTGCCCATCTCCCCTTTCTGTCCATTGTCAGGGCACATCATTCCTTCCTGTTTATTTCTTTTCCATCCCTCTTGATGGGGTTCTCCTTGCCCAAGTTTTTCAATTCCATTATGTTGGACTCATTTCCTTCCCTAGACACTATGTGTAGAGGAGAAAAAGAAATGTGCATCTCTCAGCAACAGCATCATTGTAGCCATCCGACGTGGGGAGTGTAAGCCAGACAATTATTTTTCCTATCTGTGTGGCCAAGTTGCAAGGCTGTATGGTATGTAGAAGAAATGTCAGCCAGGCCAGTGGCCACCTGGCATCAGATAGTGTCTTGGATCAGCTGTCTAGTTCTCTCTGCTCTTGGAGTGAGGAAACTTGGTAGGCCTGAGTGTTTAGATAAACAATTACAATGAATTACATGCCTTTTCTTCCCCCCTGCCTCATGATAAAAATGTTATAGAATTGAGTGAGGAAACTTTTGCACTAAATTGCACTAAATGATTGCATATTTAGAAAGTCTAGAAGTCTAATAAACATTCTGAAAAACATCTCCAACATTATGGGTAGATGGCTCTTGGCTTGAGGTGATTTGGGGGTGAGGAAGGGTCTGGATCTACCATGAAATGGTTTCTTCTCTGGAGGATCTCTTCAGCCCCGTCCCCTTACCTGCACTGAAATGTCTACCAACAGCCACTTCCTTGTGTGAAGCAGCAGAGTTAGAGGTTGTGTCTCTGAAAGGTTCTGTCACTGTGTTTAATGCACATTGAAGGGGGCCCCTCTAGCTCTCTCCCTTCAGGGCACAGTCGCAGGGATTGTTCCTTTGATATTATTTCCTAGGTAATAATATGGGAAGATATTTAAGGAAAAAGAAAGCCTGATTGGAGAGGATTGAGGTTCAGGAGGAATTCTTTTTTTTTATGAGAAGAGTAAGATAAGCTTGGGACAACATCAAGTATCAGAGAGAGAAAGGTAAGCATAATAGTGTTGGGAGCATCGATACCTGAAGATAGCTGCAGTATCAACACAGTGTCCTTGCACAGTGCCTTATGTTCTGCAGGCTGCTTTAAGTCTGTTAGTTCACAGCAACCAAGTGGATAAGCATCGCTATTTTACAGCTGAGGCCCAGGCGGCCAAGTAAATTGTTCACAGTCATTTCAACCTTTAGGGGTAGAAGGGAAAATCAAGTCTCCTCCTTCCCTTCAAAGTGTTCCTTCCTTTATACCATATAGAATCACCTTAATTTTAGTTCAGATGAAAAGTTAAAGTGAGCTTCACAGTTTTCCCAGTCCTGGTCTCAATTCTATAACATTTTTATCATGAGGCAGGGAAGAAAAGGCATGTAATTCATTGGGAAGAATATGGGCTTTGGTATTAGAAAGATTTAAGGTTAAATAAATTCTAATTTAGTCACTTACCAAATGCATGACCCTGGGTAAGTTAGTTGACATCTCAATTTTCCAATATATAAAATCGGGAAAATATGTAACTCTTGATATTGTTGCAAAGATTAGAAGTAATATTGTAAAGCATCAGGCACATAGAAGTCATTCAATAAATTACACCTATTATTAATCTTGATGTTAATAAAGTGGAATGATTCTTTCAATAAATTACACCTATTATTAATCTTGATGTTAATAAAGTGGAATGATTCTTTCAAACCTGTACAGTAGCTAACTAGATGTGATGAATTAGAATACTTGTACGTGGTTAGACTCAAGAGATGACAAAACTCAAAATGAGATGGGTCTAGCAATAGCAGTTACATACAGTTGTATAACATTTTGCAATTAATGGAATACTTTTAGGTACATTCATTTTAATCTTATGAAAGCCAATATGGTTGATGGGCAGGGCAGTATGAGTTCTATAAAATAAGGCTAGTATACAGTTACTTTGCCAGCAGAAACAGCTGAGATGAACTCATTTTTGGATTCCTATCCTGCAAGATTCCATCTCCACTTTTATCCTACAAGAATTATGGCATTTCTGTCTTTCCACTAAGAGAATAAAACAAGGCAAATTATCATAGGTATAGAGTTACTTGGGTTTGGATTCTTTATCCTTAAGACTTTGAGATCTTCATGAACCATGATTTTTTAAAAATCCCACTCTCTTGATTGTACTAAGACTTAGTTTTAAAAGTAGATTCCCAGAGATTTCTCCAAAGTCCACTAACAATTCTGGTGTTGGCTTATTCTGGTGTTGGCTCCATAGTGACTTATCTACTGAGACTGGTACCTTCTGAAATGTGGGTTAAATGTTCAATGTTAAAATATGTAGTTATACATCACCTGACTATTTTTAGATTTTTAGTCCAGTTAGCATTCTTTCCCTCCCTCTAGTCACTAAACTCATCTTGATTTACATGGCTGATTTTAAAGATTGTAGATGTTTCATAAATTGATCTTTAGACCAGTTAAGTTACCTGGTCACTGCTTCATACCCCCCTTCATGACACCCGGTCAAAAGGGCCTGTCTCCAGGGGGCTGAGCTTCAGCTTGTGACTAGTTTCTAATGTTGACTTTGTTCACAGTTCCCTTGTATCGTAGGAACAGGAAACATGCCATCAGACACTTCACACTTACAGAAAATGAATGCTTGACTGTTTGTCAGTGTGCATGCTGCAGCCAGATTTCTAATCCAAACAATTACACTTAAAAATGTTATTATAGTTTTATTTTTTGAAACTAATGCTTTTTTCTACATTTTATCCTACAAGGGGAAAAAACAGTGCTTTGTCAGTAAGAAGTTGCTTTTCATAATTTGGAAAAAAATTAATATTAAAATATATTAAAACCTAAAAAGACAAAATTTAAAAAGAAAAATGTGACAGCGTTGTGTTAAAACTATTTTCTAACATTGTTAACTATTATAATTGTCTTATGTAACTTTCTGACCACTGTGTATCTGTATACATGTATAAGCTTCTACTAGTTATAAACATTGCACTTTATATTCAACTCTTAAAAGCAGTATTTTCTATGTACTTTTTCACATTTCTACATAGCTATAAATTTTATCTTTATTTTTGACAGGTTGAGAATGCATTTACTGGGTTACCAGGCTATAAGGACATTCGTGTACTTGATTTTAGGTAAATAGACTCTAAAAATGTACATGTTCAGTAGCACTCTTTATTTCAGTGTAATATCTTTTTGTGTTTATTATGTGTGCTCTAAAAACAAATGATTTGAGTGCTGTAATTCAATACTACTTCTGGTAAATATGTATTCTTAATGATAGTTTTTCAGGAGAGGAGACTGAGTTAGAAAAAGGCAAAAGAATATATTCAAGGAGACATACTAGATCTGTAGTTATGCAGATAAGAACTTAGGAATTCATGTCCCCAGCTTGCTGCTGATAAGTTACACTGCTTTTACTTGGCACTGAGGGGAGCCTGAAGTCACATTAGATATGATCTTGGCTTCCCACTAAATCTTGTCAATGTTCTACCAAGGTGACTTTGACATCTTACTGTAAGGCCATTCTGGAGGGGATGCATTTGTCTTCATTTCAAACATAACAGTTCTAAGTAAATCACTGATCTCTTTTTAAAACATTTCTTCTTAAAAAGAATATTTACTGGGGGCACCTGGGTGGCTCAGTCAATTAAGCGGCTGCTTTCGGCTCAGGTCATAATCCCAGGGTCCTGGGATAGAGTCCCACATCGAGCTCCCTGCTCTGCAGGAGGCCTGCTTCTCCCTCTCCCACTCCCCCCTGCTTATGTTCCCTTTCTCGCTGTGTCTCTCTCTGTCAAAAAAAAAAAAAGAGTATTTACTGAGTGAATACTTTATATTGGGGACTTGATTTTCCTGAGCTAACTTAGTCAGAATAAATATTATTAATACTCATTTTGCAGAGAGCAAATAGGTTTAGAAGGATGAAGTATTAGCCCAAAGTCAGAGAGCTTGTAAATTAGCAGTGGAAGAGGGATTTTGAAACTGGGTGGCTGACTTTACAGCTCTTACACTTAAATCCCATGCTAGACTTAGTACTTTCTGAAGGTTTGGAGCATTTGGACGATAGTTGTGGCCCAGCTGTTTGATGCAGGGGAGCATGAGTAGGGGTATATGTAACTTCACAACATAATCAATAGGACCAGCATCTTAACTTTGGCATATTCTCTTATCACAACTTCTGGGTTTACCAGAAATAATAGCAAGCACTTACATAGCATTTACAGTGTGCCAGGCTTCATATCTATATAACTCATTTATTCCCAACAGCCATGCTATGAGATAGCTAATTTCCTCATTTTTTTTTTTTCTAATAAGGACACCTTTCTGATAAGGCACAGGGAATTTCAATAATTTACCCAAAGACACTCAGCTAATTGTCTGTGCAGGGGAGAGGGCAAGCATGGTAAATTGACCCACCACCTACTCTCACACCATAACCAGTCTCCCCAGTTCAACCTTAGCACTTCTCATAGAATGCCGCCTCCAGCTGTGACTAAAGCTCATATGAGAACCTAGGAGTGTGAGGCCTTTGAGGACCTCTCTCATTTGGCAGTACACGAAAAGCAACATGGCCTTTGGAGCCAACTTCCCTGGGTTCACATCTGCTTTTGGCACTTCTGGCTGGCTGATTTTAGATAAATTATCCAGTTTTAATGTCCTATTTGTATAAAAAAGAGAATTTACTATTAATTCTGCTTTATTAAAAATACTTTTGAAATACTTTGGGTAAATTATGTAGCTTCCTTGTTCCTCAGTTTCTTTACCTGTAAAATGGGGATTCTAATAGTCCTTAATAATCTTAATGAGGATTAAATGAATTGATTTTTGTAAAACACTCAGCACAGTTTTCTGGCACATGGGACTATCTATTAAGTGTCTGTTACATAAATAAATATTAAAGGCCATGCAATATCCTGTGGGTCCATCCTGACCTTTCCCAATCCCTTAGCATCTTTCTGTATAACATCCGATTTTCTTTTCATTTATTTTAAATTACATAACACGTTGTGTACCAAAAAAATGTTTCCCAATTTTGCTAAATGCCAGCAACTGGAGTCCTCTGCTGATATACTGAAAAAAACTTATTTATAAAGAGAAAACCTTATATGAATGGTTTAAATACAGTCTAAAGATAGTAAATATTGTCAGTTTTTTTTTTTTTTAAGATTTTATTTATTTGACAGAGAGAGACACAGTGAGAGAGGGATCACAAGCAGGGGGAGTGGGAGAGGGAGAAGCAGGCTCCTGGCTGAGCAGGGAGCCCGATGCGGGACTCGATCCCAGGACCCTGGGATCATAACCTGAGCCGAAGGCAGACGCTTAACGACTGAGCCACCCAGGTGCCCCAATATTGTCAGTTTTAAAACAGAATCTTTTCTCACCCTTTGTTTGCTTCCTTCAATCTACATGAGTTTGTCCACATCTAATACTATGCAAACATTTTGATTTAAGGAAATATTTTAGAGGAAATATATTAAGAACTTGCAACTTTAATGAATGATGTGACAATTATAACTGTCTTAAACTCTACTTAACACTTTCAATTTTTATTTTCAGGTCCCCCAAGGAAAATGGCAGGTAGAGTACTTTTTGGCACTTTTTATACAGTCCACTGATTGAAAAGGTAGTTTAGAAAATTTGGTAGCCCTAGGTCCAAGGTAGCATGGCTCAATTCTTTCATAACTTCTAATATTAGTGTCCATCTCCTTACAGATTGGGGATTGGCAAACTTTTTTACCTGAGGGTCAGTTAGTAAATATTTTAAGCTTTTCAGGCTGTACTTTCTCTGTTGCAACTACTTAACTCAGCCATCAGATGAATGTAGATATAGATAATACACTGAAAATGAATAAGCATGGCTATATTCTAATAAAACTTAATTTATGGAAACTGAAATCTGAAATTCATGTAATTTTCACATGTCACAAAATATTGTTCTTGTTTTGATTTTTTCAACTACTTAAAAATGTAAAATCTATTAACTCATAGATACTGAGCTGGATTTAGCTTTACAGACCCCTGTCATAGACTGTTGACTGTCAAGTACTTTTAAATGTTGAGTTACACTTAATTTAAAATGGGAATAAAACCCGCCATTAATGTAAACAGTTTCAAGTATACTATGTCATTCAGTAATATAATCAAGTGTCACTTTAAGTTGTAAATGAAGAGGAGAAAGCCAATCTCTATAATAGTTCATTTGCAAAAACAGCTGCTCTTTGGAATTTCTTAGAAGAAGCATAATATAAAAACATAGTCAATACCCTTTGTGGAGGTTGCTTGTCATTTTTTGCTTTTGGATTCAAATTTATTTAAAATTCATTTTCTCTTGCAAGATTGATAAGTATAAATAGAATTTATGAAGCAAATTCATGTGTTAATTGTGGACGTTTAGACATACAGTAATACTACTTTCTTGTAATATTTTATATTTGAAAAGAGCTTTCTGACTCCATTTTCATTTATATTATTTAAGCAGGTGTTTACTAAGTGCCTACTAATTGGACAAACCCTGTGCCTACAAAAATTAATAACTCTTGGTTTATTTCTTTTAGGAACACACAATCTAATGAAAAGTGCTTTTAGAGATATGTCAAATTACTGGTTCTTTTTTATTTTTTCATTTTATTTTCTTAATGTTCCTTTGAGATAGTGAAAATGAGGATTAACATTCATTCTCCTTCTGGAAGTGAGGATATTTTGCCTGAGACAGACAAACTGATTTGCTGTAAGTTATATAAGTAGGAGATATCAGATATTTTGACCAAGGTAATCAGAATTTTGGTTTCTGTACTCTAAGTAGATGTGAACAGTCCTGTGTGTATGTATTACAGGTATATGTTTTGATGATCAGTTCTCAACCAAAAGGTCTGATTGTTTAGTTGTTGCCCTCTTGGCATGATTAAAATATTAAAACAACCCAAATTCTAATGTTACCATGTTAACCTTATGACCAAAAGAATGATATCCAGTTACTGAGTGCTAAGTCCTCTATAGGGACACAGAAACCAATATGAAGCCATTAGATTTTATGATAGAATTGTTAACCTAGGTACAATTTCCAAAATTGTTCAGTATTGTCAGGTATTAGCCCATTGATGGAATTGATTCATAACTTTTTGGTATACTTGTATTCTGAACCATGGATGAATAAATGTGTGGCACAGAAATAGTCTGTTTATATAATTTATAACCATTCTCTTTCTTTGTCTCTCTCCATAAACATTTATATCCATATGAAATTTTCTATTTGCTTTGTATCTGTCCAGGTACACACATTGTTTTAAGTTAGTAGATTACCCATTTGAAGTGAGTCAATATATCTGCCTGGTATACTTCAAAACTTTAGCTCCAGGCTTCATAAGTGTGTGCCTTCTTTCTAATGGAAGAAATTTTACAGGATATCTGAATTTCTCTGAAATATCTTTATTTTGGTTGATCTTAATGAGAAATGATACTATTATTTCTTATGTTGAAAATCTGCATGTCAAACAGCCAATCAGGGCATTTGAGGTAAGAGAATAAGAAAGGATAAATTTTACCTCCACATGATTGATGTTTCTGGAAATAGCTGTCAGAAAGAGAAACTTTCCTTTATATAGCAGCTGTGTTAGTCTAGCTTAGAAGATGAAAGATGGTAATACAGGGGTGGCTGGTTAACTCGGAGGTGCTAAATGCGGAGAGCCAGCACAGCTTTCTTCAGTCAGATCATGTTTTGTCTTCCAATGTGCATTCTGCTTCTTATGTACTTCCTTGGCCTCTTGGCTTTCTTTTATTCTGTCCCTCATCCTGAGACGTCTCTCTGCTACATTTACCATGCCAGAACTCAGTCTGTTTTGGGTCATAGTGACATTCTCGGCTCCGAGAATAGATGGTTTCCTGATACCTTAAGCATTTCTTTGAGTTCTCTTTCCAGGACAAAAACATGGTAATGAATTGCAGCATATCTCTGAGGCATTTTATCTTCTTTAATGAATTTATCCTCACTAGACAAGGTAGACTATAATAGAAGTGTTATTTTTATATGTCCGAGGGAAATGTTGGGAGACAAATTATATTTTGTCAACAAAGAATAAGGCCAGTAATCTGCCCCAGACTGCTTGATTTGCACAAATTTCTTGATCCAGGAACATTTCTCTTGATCATCTCTCTATGATATTTAAAAGTAATGCAAGGCACATGGTAGACTCTCAGTGAAGCTTTGATTCTTCTTGTCTGATTTTCTGCATAGCATAGGAATGAACTCAAGTGCTAATAGGTACAATCTTTTCCTCCATTTTTCATTGTCACTGCTTTCTGTCTTAATATGAAATAGGTTGTGCAAAGACCCAAAGAAGCTCACCTTTCAGGAGATGTAGTCATGGTCTATCCCATTGAGTTTGGAAAGAGCATGCATTTCCTCAAGGTTGGGTTGTGGAGGTGAAGTAGTATCTCTAAAATGATTACTCATGGGGCTCCAGGGTGGCTCAGTTGGTTAAGCAACTGCCTTTGGCTCAAGTCATGATCTCAGGGTCCTGGGATCCAGCCCCCCGACCAGGCTCCCTACTTAGGAGGGAGTCTTCTTCTCCCTCTCCCTTTGTCCCTCCCTCTGCTCATTCTCTCTCTCCCTCTCTCAAATAAATAAAGTATTTTTAAAAATGATTGCTCAGAAGATACAAATGTATGAAGATAATTTTAGGGTGAAAACTTTAGAGACTTTCATATTTAGAGACAAAATTCTTCAGATTAAATAGGGAGTATCATTCTGTCATTTAAGTAACACAAATTTAGTTGTCTTATATGCCTGCATTAGTCAATAAAATTGACCATTTGCTCTTTTATTATTTTCAAAAGTATTTGTTGAACTACTATGAGCCAAGCATTGTGCTAAATCCCTAGGACACATACGGTGTGGTGAGTTCTGACCAGTAGGTGTCCCTCTTACTGTTTTATTCTACCTCAGGGCCATCATTTGGTTATTTTAGCATATTTTACTGAATTTATTTCTTTACAAAAGAATATCAGGAATTATCCATGAATCAATATAGTCTGACATGAAAAAAAAAGAGACTGAAAGAAGTTCTAGACAACAAGCTGATGTCTTACCATTTTGTAGAGCATCAGGATGTCAAAATACTTAGTTACTAATTAAAACACCCTAAACCACCCCATTAGAAGTGGAAGCTTATCAGATCTGGGAGGAAAACCTTATGGAAGTTACTCAGATTAGAACAAAAACATCAAAGAGGCCTGGCAACTTGTATGGCAGGTGAGGGATGTCACTTTCATGGTGTCCCCTATAGTTCAGGGTATGAATCTGTGGGAAGCAGGCTCAGGACAGGTCCAGAACTGCCTATACTACCAGGAAGGACAGGTCTCTTAAGACCAATTCATGCTTACTAAATCATAAGATATGATGCACTGTCTAGGATGCCAATTGATTTATTTAAAGCAAGAGATCTGCCAACTGACCAATTATTGCATTGTCTGGCTCATGCATTCTTTCCCCATAGGAAAATCTGTAGGGAGTTATAATCAAAAGATCCCTTTGCAAGCTTGAAAGAAGAGAAAGGAAGCTGGGTGACTTTTTTTTTTTTTAAAGATTTTATTTACCCTTTTTTTTTTTTTAAGATTTTTATTTATTTATTTGACAGAGAGAGACACAGCGAGAGAGGGAACACAAGCAGGGGGAGTGAGAGAGGGAGAAGCAGGCTTCCCGCAGAGCAGGGAGCCCGATGCGGGGCTCGATCCCAGTACCCTGGGATCATGACCTGAGCCGAAGGCAGACGCTTAATGACTGAGCCACCCAGGCGCCCCTATTTACCCATTTTTGAGAGAGAAGCAGGCTCCCCACTGAGCAGGGGCTTGATCCCAGGATGCCTGGGATCATGACCTGAGCCGAAGGCAGAAGCTTAACCGCTTAACTAAGTCACCCAGGCACCTGGAAGTTGGGTGATTTTAATGACCAGTATCATCAAGCCATGCTAGCTATGTTGTGGCTGTCTCCAATTTAGGGATCTGTTTTTACAAGGAAGCCACAATAGTGAAATAAATTAGTTGACTAATCCCTTTTTCTAGACTCCATGAGATCATTCTCATTATGTTGATACTTTTTGTTTAGATATGTGAATACCTTGATTAGACTGTAGTTGTTTTTTTTTTTATATTCAGACAAGTTTAGATTTCTATTTATTTAGTAGGCACTGGGGGGCCCTCAGTGCCAGGGACCATGCTGAACACTGGGGATAGAAACTCAAGGAGAGACTGAAAGGCAGTCACTTTAAACAAAATCTTTTTACAAAACCACAAAAGCTGTAATCAAAGAATATATAATGATACATAAGTAAGTTCAGAGGGGGAAGTGCTTAAATTATTTGTATGCTTTGATTTGGGAGTCATTTTGGTCTTACAGAATGTCAGAAGGAGGCAAATTGTTTCCATTGCCTGTCTCTCTTGAGTGTTTTATCTTTGGGAAGATAGCGTTCTCCTTTCCTCTGGAAGGATCTTGGTGTGACTTGCTGGGTCCTGCTTCTGATGGCTGTGTCTCATAGACTGGGGGAAGCCAGAGTGATGACGAGAGCAAAGCTGTCTCATAATGACTTTTTTGGGTAGTAGTTTAATTAAAGCTACTGAGAGTATAGCATAGTAATTCAGAATTCAGATGCTGGAGTCAAGCAGACCTGTGTTTGAATCTTGACTCTACCACGTACATGTTTCAAAATTTTAGGCAAGTCTTCTAACTTCTTTAAAGCTCAGTTTCTTCAATAATAATCTGAAGATAATAAAACCTTCACGGGGTTATTATGAAAATTATATGAGATAAAGCATATGAAATAACTGTCACATCGTAAGCACTTTTAAAATGTTAGCTTTTAGTTGTTAGAGAAATATGAGTTAGAGTCTAGAAGGAGTATTTTTATTGGCTTCAAAATTTTATAATCTGGTGTTATTTCTCCAAAATGATTATTTAAGAAAATATCAAATGACATGTCAACTACTATTTATGTATTTTTACTCTACCCTTTATTCTAAGAAATCTTCTCTTTGTTTGCTTATGGAAAGGTAGATAGTAAAAAAGCCCAATCTCAGACAGTTCTTTGTTAGCTCATTAAGGTTTTATTCAACTCATTAATGAAGGAGCCAGTTCAAAAATGAAAGCTAGTTTGTAGAGCATTTGAAAAACAGAAATTTATATAGTCAATTTGGGAAAGGTTTAGGGTAGTAAAATCATAAACTTTGGAGTCATCATTACTACCAGGCCAAAAAAAAAAAAAAAACCCTGATCACATTTTAATAGTTTTATTTCAGTTTAGTTTCAAACTTTATAGGACTGTAAATTGTCTGGACTATCAAACAAAATTACATCTCCTGAGAGACTTAGATAACTGTCATATCAGAAAATATTCTAGCATGATATTAAAAAAAACACAAGTCATCAATTTGCTTTATTTTCAAGTATTTCATATTTTCCGTTCCCAATAACTATGCTTTAGTTCATAGTAATTAAGCTTCTTTATTGCTTCACTACCCCCCTTCCATTGTGGAGTACATAATCTGTCCAATAACAGTAAGAAAGAGAGATGAGAGAATTACCCACTGTTGGGTGGAGTTAGAAGGTTTTGTTTTGTTTTGTTTTGTTTTAAATCAGGGAGGAGAAATGCTAATAGGGAAAGAAGGAAGCTGGCAGATAGTGGAGAGGAGCTGTTGGCTCTGATGGAGGAAAGAAGGGGTGAGAATGGTGGGGAAGAGCGTGCTCACATATTCTGCAGAGTTGCCTCTCTGGCCTCCTTAGAACGTTTTCCATGTTCTTAGAGCTATGAACCTCTGTTCTCTAGGAAGCAGGAGGGGATGGCAAAAGGTTGTCCAGAGTCAGCAGAGAATGGTGGTGGAATCCATGCTTTTTGAGACCCCCCATCTTTACCCTCCTCCCCCAGGTGTAGTGTTTGTGCTCCATGGGTTCAAAGCTCCTTTCTTTGTGTTTCCTTAGCAGGGTCTAATTTGTTCTCTGTTTTCATCCATAGTGGCATAGATGTTCATTATGCAGTTACCTTCAATGGTGAGGCCATCAGCAATACCACCTGGGACCTAATTAGCCTTCATTCCAACAAGGTGGAAAACCATGGTCTTGTGGAACTGGATGATAAACCCACTGCCGTTTATGCAATTAGTAACTTCAGAGATTATATTGCTGAGATACTGCATCAGAATTTTTTGTTGGGGAACTCCTCTTTGAATCCAGATCCTGACTCCCTTCAACTTATCAATGGTGAGTTGATATCCATCATAAAGTCCTTGTACAGCTTTAGTTTCTTTTTCAATATACTCTGGTGAAAACTAATTTCTTTAAATATCTGTGGTTTTTAGCATTCTCTTGACTGCATGAGAGAGGAGCCATCCTGGTTCGAATGGAGCTTTAGCCACGTAGCTATTTGGGATAGATCAATCGGGAGCTCTTAGGAGTATTGTAAACAAAAAGCCACAAAGAGTGGGGAAAGTGGGGTGCCTGGGTGGCTCAGTCAGTTAAGCATCTGCCTTCAGCTCAGGTTATGATCCCAGGGTCCTGAGATCAAGCCCCATGTTGGGCTCCCTGCTTGGCGGGGAGTCTGCTTCTCCCTCTCCCTCTGCCTGCCACTCTGCCTACTTGTGCTCTCTCTCTCTCTGTCAGATAAATAAATAAAATCTTAAAAAAAAAAGTGGGGAAAGTGGAGAACAGCATGACATTTAGAAATAGTTTAGGGAAATGGGAGCAAAATATAGGAAAAAGGGAAGTGGAACCTGCAAGCATGAAGTGGAACAGGTTATAGTGCAGCTGGGCAACCAACACAGTAATTCTCCATAGGCAAATCGACTGGTGTAAAGACTTAAAAGCCAGAGAGCAGAAGACAAAAGAGTAGCTCAGGAAAGTTCAGGGAGGATCTTGGTCAAAGAAGAACTGATACTGGGTGATAGGCAGAATCCCAGAGAATCCAGTACTGAGTTTGAATTTAGATAGCTGGAGAGATCCGGTTATGATCTGAAATCAACAGGTGGATCTGGGATCATCAAGGAGGGGCTGACTACTTTGGATTTAGAGGTGAAAGAGTGGCCTAGTTAATCTCAGACTAAAGTTTACTAAGAATCTGGTTACTGGTGTTGCAACAGTTTAACTCATCAGGGACATGGTGTCCTGTTAAATTACTTCTTCATGTTTACTTCTTTATGATTTCTTCTCTCATGGGTGGTTTAGCTTTTAAGATGTCCATGGAGTAGGGCGCCTGGGTGGCTCAGTTGGTTAAGCGACTGCCTTCGGCTCGGGTCATGATCCTGGAGTCCCGGGATCGAGTCCCGCATGGGGCTCCCTGCTCGGCAGGGAGTCTGCTTCTCCCTCTGACCTTCCTCCCTCTCATGCTCTCTGTCTCTCATTCTCTCTCTCTCAAATAAATAAATAAAATCTTAAAAAAAAAAAAAAAAAAGATGTCCATGGAGTATATTTTACTGACATGATTGCATGGGAAAAGTACCAGATGCCAAACTGGAAAATTCATGAATGAGAGGCAATACTAACAATGATGCATTTTTATAGCCTCTTCAATTCCCACATTTTCTTAAGAGAAAAGAGTCTGTATCTTTTTTTTTTAAGATTTTATTTATTTATTCATGAGATATATATATAGAGAGAGAGAGAAGCAGAGGGAGAAGCAGGCTCCCAAGGAGCAGGGAGCCCGATGCGGAACTCGATCCCAGGACCCTGGGATCATGACCTGAGCTGAAGGCAGACACTTAACCATCTGAGCCACCCAGACGCCCGAGAGTCTGCATCTTTTCAAGCAGTTATCACCTAGGCCTTGTGTGTGTGTGTGTGCGCGCGCATGTGTGTTTATGTAAATAAATAAAATACACATGAGAGAGAGAGAAAAGAGAGAAAAAAACTTTAATGAAATTTTACTATATATAATTCCTTACTTCCTAAAGAAGATATTTTTTGAGGGCTTCACTAAAACTTTAAATTGCTTTTCAATTATTTTGGCTGCTAGACTGATGTTTCCTTAAAATGACAGTGTGCTAAGACAGGGCCACAAAGTGGCTTGGACTTCATATGGGTTATATAGGACTTTAAAGTGGAGAAACTGTTTATTTATTATTTTAGAGATTGATTTATTTATTTTAGGGAGAGAGCATAAGTGGGGGGGAGGGGCAGAAGGAGAGGAGAGAGAATCTGAAGCAGACTCCCTGCTGAGTGTGGGGCTCCATCTCACCACCAGAGATCACGACCTGAACAGAAACCAAGAGTCCAAAGCTTAACCAACTGCACCACTGAGGCTCTCCTAAAGTGGAGAAACTCTTTCTTCGTAGATGATAGTGATATTAGGCTATCAGTTCTAAAACACGAGAGAACCTTTGTATTTTGGAGCAGTGCAGGTATCCTGGGCTTACTGTCTCATATACTCCTTTTTCATTGTTATATCTTGTTGGAATACCTGAGCCAGATAAAATAGTGAAAAGAGAAGAAGCCTGTTATAATCTCAAATTGCTGAAGTCCTTTTGGCAAGGCTGGTATAGACTAGCTGGGGGCTACCTATGTGGACAGCAAATAGGCAGAAGGTCCCAGGAATCTGGATATTGGGATCTGAGAAAAAAATATAGCTAAGAGGTCACCTGAAGGGGATGGGAACCTAAACTGAGCAGAAAGTAGAAACACCAAGGTTAATAACGAGGGTAGTGGAAGAAGGACATGGAGATTAAGGTTTGCAACAGGCAAAGTGAGATTGTTTAGGAAACTAAATCCACAAACAGCATAGGAAGGTCTTCCTTTTATGTGGAGCCTGGTTGTAGCCTACCTCCAAGGTGTCCTGAAAAGGAGTTTAACAACTGAGAATTTCTAAGCAAATTTAACAAAAGCTTTAGGATATACAGGAGAAACTAATTCGGATGCTTTGATCTTTCATTAGATGTATGTTTCAATTGCACAAAATTTGGTCTCTAAAATCTATTTCTATTGTCATGACAACTCAGAATTCTGAACGGATGTAGCTTTCTACGTAACCTGGTCATCATTTCTTAAAGATAGATCATCCTTGATCCGTGGTGCTTATTTTCCGTAGAAGACAAGATAACCGTATACACAATTGAAAAAGAGTTTTGGAAAATACTTAAATCCAATAGGGTTTTTGGCTTGTCATTGATCCCTTTATGTCAGGCCAGTGGTAACAGGTGAATAAAGAGAGATTCTGTTTCTATTTTTGGTGCATGCACCAGATCAAATTGTGGCAATCCTTTTTTTTTTCTTTAGCTTTTATAGATTCCCTCTCCCCTTCAGGCAAAATCAATTTCTTCTTTGTATCCCACACATTGTATATATGCCCCTCACATCATTTTATAATTTGTGTTTCTCTCTCTGACATAGGGAATACTTGCATAGGAGAAACTTGGCTTTATTAATGTTTATAGTCTCAACTTTATCAAAGACTGTAGTAACTAGCAAGGATTCAGTAAGGCTTTGTTGAATTACATTATACAATCTATTGTCTTACCTTTATTGCTCTTTAATATGGTATAGCAGTAAACTCTCTCGTGCCCTAACCATTTTTCAAAGATACTTTCTGCCAAAGAGGAAATCATTTTTCATAATTTTCTCCATTCTTAGCATCAACCAAATGCATTGGAATTTCAGTTTAACTTCCTTATTAAAATGAAAAAAAATTCAGTTTAAAAATATCTGCTTCACAGGAATCTTGAAAAGAGTAAACTGCTTAAAAGGAGAAAAAGAAATAATATAGGAATGTCTTAAATGTAATAATGAGGAGAATATTTTATGATGGAGTCTTATAAACCAGATAGATTGTGTTACTATTGATGCTGTCAGGCCAGGTCTGAGGACCCAGAGAGGGTCCCACAGGGCCAGCCAAGAGGGTCCTTGGTGACACACAGGATAGAAATCAAGCACAAGCCAGCAGGAAGGGAGAGAGCAGAGTTTATTGAAGATATATATAGAGAGAGCAGATACAGACAGAGTATCTGGGAGACTTGGTAAAGAAAAGGAGAGAGTTGTGTCTTTGCTTGGGGTCTGGGGTTTTTAATGAGGATTGTGGTCTGGTGTACATGTCCTCTCAGGCATCCAGGAACCAGCTAGAACAAGGACAATGGTCCAGGTGTCCTTCCTAAGCCACTTATTCCTTGGAGCCAGGCAGTCTTGACATTGAGATGTTTAGTGCCCGTGGTCTGGAATACGCATATGATGGCCTCATCACATCATTCTCCCATGGCCCTTCCTTCAATGTTATCTGTTGTGCTGGAAGACTCTAAAAAAATCATTAACTTCTTGTCCCTTACAAGGAGGACATTGACTGTTTGTTCTATGAGGCGTGTGTAAAGTGAGGGTACAGGTTCTAGTAAGAATAGAAGCAGGAAAAAGAGCAAAAAGCAGATTTTTATGGAGTCTTTCAGTTTCCCTATCTCAATACAGGCAAAATATCTGAATAAAGTAACAAACATTTTCTAAGCAAGTCTCCCTTATCTGTTGTGCCAAGATCTAAACTATTAAAAAGAACAACCTAATTTTTAGTTGTCCCTGAACCTCAAATATAATAGTGTCTCAACTAAAAATGTTCTTTCTTCAGTGAGAGGAGTTTTACTTTCTGAAACTGAAGACCTAATTTGGAACACCCAAAGTTCAAGTCTTCAGTCAACCCCACCATCCATTCTGGTAAGTATGTTTCTGTGTTTTATGCCTGGAATCAGGCCCTCAAACTTCTCTTCTTTATACACTTACCTGCTTACTTTAGCGTCATGAATTTCCTGAGCTGTTTCTATTTCAAATATTTTCTTACATCATCCTTGGAACATTATTCACAGTTGTCAGCTCCGGAGTCCCAAGTATTAGTTCAGAAAATTTAAGCCTTCTGCAGTGGTTAAATGAAGTCTGCACTGGTTAATTTCCAAGCTCTAAATGTGGTATAAAACTTACTTATGGTTTATACTTGTTTGGTAATAATTAAGCTATAAGTGCCCACTGAGTTGTTCTCTGAAAGTTACTCAGAAGTAGTTTTTATAGCCAAGACTATAAATTGATGTACATAGGTACAGAGTATAGATTTGCATTCCAAGGATTGTAGTGAAGAAAAATGTTAGATTCCAAAGCATATAGAATAGCGTGTGTACAGGAGAGAGAGAGAGAAAGAAGAATAAAAATAACAGCTAACTGACAAATGACAGGGACTCAAAATCAGGCCTCCTTTTAACCTGGACTGAAAACATTCCCATTTGCACAGAAACATCATCGAAGAATGTTCCTTTTTGTTCTTACCACCCAACTCCCCTGGGCGATCCTCTGTCCCCTCTAAATCCCTCCACTTGCCACTTCACCCATAGAGAGGCATCTAATAGAAAAGAAAGTGGCTTCCTTGACTATAGTTGAAACAACAGCAGTGCCAGCTACAACCACAGCACCCCTGGAGGCCACCTGGTTACAAAGCATCCATGAATCTTTTGTTACCACATAGAGTCGGGGGACTCCCTTCTACAGTCCCTGAGACTCCTACTCTCCTGAGACTTTTCTGCCTCATAGAAGCTTCTTGAAATACTTGTTTCTTGACTTTAACCCTGCAGTGAACATTTACAAAGTCTGCCCCAAATTCACTTAGCCATTAATATATGCAGCCATTTCTTATACTCCGTTATAGAGCAGCTCAGTTTTGAAATGTGGTGTCATTGGAAATACTCTTCTCACTGAGTTCCATATTGGAGAAAAAAAGTTAGGGGGGATTGACACTAGAGATTACATTATTTGGTGTTTATTTATTCATTCATTCAAATATATTTATTGCGTGCTTTTCATGTGCCAAGTACTGGGAAAACTAAGATGAATAAGGGTATGGGCTTGCCCTCAAGAAGTTTCCAGTCTGGTAGACAGACTTTTCCACAGATACAGTGATGCTGTCATAGAAGTCCATTCAGGATGCATTGGCAGAGAGTGGTGATTCACAGTGAACATCGCACCACTAGTCTTCAGTCCTTCTAATCCTATTCATCTTGGGCTTCTCTAACCATAGATCTGTGATGATACTTAGAACGATGTTGTAAAGATAGGAATTTTTATATGAGCCAGAGGTTGCAAGTTGGAAACCAGCCAGCTGGATCCAGCTGTAGGCATGTGTTTGGGGCCAAATTTTTAAAGAAGCTAACATTTAACAATTGGGATATTTTTGCAGGAAAATGTAGATTTCCAACTTCTTTTGAAAACCAGGAAGATCTGGTATCCTTAGGTCCAGGTCCCCTGTTGCAGAAAGTGGTTAGGGTTTGGCTGAAAGGGGCTGCCCCTTTAATGCTGATAAACACTGACTAACTGGGCACACATGGTGCCTGTAATGTGGTTCCATTTGCATTAAAGCCAACCCCTCAGTTTTTTGAATAGTGATAACTGTGGGGGCATTAAGTAACAATTTGAGGAGACAGTAGGATTGTTAATGGATGATAATAAGGCATGAAAAGAAGAATGATTGATTAGAAGTGTGTGGTTATTGATTTTCCTTCTTTTTGGGGGGCAAACTGTTAACAAGATCTTGTTCTTTTATAGAAATGAGATTAAAAATTTTTTTTACAGATTTGATTTTTAGAAATTATTTTAGAGGTAGGAATGTTGGGATATTGAATTTGACACGTTTTGGCATCCTAACTTGGAAAATCACATGTTGCACAGTGTGCTTTCTATAGCGCTAGCAAGCTTTTCAGTTGGCATTCACAGAAGTGAAACTGGGCCAGTATAAGTTAATATGCTACATTGAACTAAAAGAATTCTTGAGTTGAATTTGTTGCTATGGGAACATCTATTCCTATAAAAATAAATGAAGTGCTATTACTGGCATGTAGATGTTCTACCTTTCACAACGTATGACAAAGCTTCATTGCTATGCCATTTTTTAGGTGGCACTTATTTGGAGTAGACGGTCTCCTTATTTAAAAAGCCAAATTGTGGGTCGCCTGGGTGGCTCAGTCGGTTAAGCATTTGACTCTTGAATTCGGCTCGGTTTCACAGTCTCAGGGTCGTGAGATCCAGCACCCCCTCAAGCTCCCACTCAGCGTAGAGGAGTCTGCTTGAGATTCCTGTCTCTCCCTCGGCCTTTGCCCCTCCCCCTACTCGTGCTGTCTTTCTCTCAAAATAAGTAAATAAAATCTTAAAAAAAAAAGTCAAGTTGTTTACTTTCACTTTTTATGTGGCCCATTTGTGACTTGACTTTTATCAGAGATATTCTGTATTGTTTTAATTTTATGGAATGAAAAGGCATTTAATTTGTAGATATACTAAAATTATATATATTGTTTGAGGATTTCTTTTTCATTAAGGATTGAGCTGTTTTCCTAATGTGTGTCAGGTCATAGGTTCTGTCTGATAAAACTCAATTTTTTCAGCATGGGTTAAAGAGCTTAAGCCATTTCACTTGGCATTTTGAAAAAATTCACATGTAGAATTTGCAAGGGTATAAATATGTCTGACTCAGCTGGATGAATGTGTAGCTTTAACACATCTTTAGAAGTGGTTTTAGATAATTAAGAGGGAAAAAAGTGAATTCCCTGGTATGGTTTGATGGTTATCATCCTAACTACTTTTCTGAGAAACAAACTTGGCATTGAGCAAATGACCTTCTTGCTTCTCCTTGAATGCATGTATGGTTTTAGATAATAGAAAAAGAAATGGGAAAGGAAGAAACTTTTCTGTCTATATAAACAACCTCCGTATTCAACATAGCAGATATTTACATATTAGAAAATGGGCTTTCCTCTCTCTCTTTGCTCTGTTTACCTGGGTCTTACAGACCTGTGGATATAGGCTAACCTGAGTGAGAATGGACTGCCAAGGCTGTTAGTTCTAGTTTCTCCTCTTGGAATCCTTTTGCATCTGGTTATGGATACGTATACGTATCTCTCAATGAACAGTCTGGTATAGTGGGCAAAGCACTGGGACTGGAACTCTAGAAACTCAGGGGTGTAGTTACGATTTTTTTTCTCTATTTTCTGTGACTGTGGGCATTTCACGTCTATGAGACTCAGTTTCTTATCTTTAATAGGCAAGATTAGACTACATGATTCAAGAGTCCTATTCTAAAATTTGATACTTCTGTTTTATTCACACACATGCACATGCTCACCCCCTAAAATGGTTCTGAGACTCAGTTTCCAATATGTGAAGGGGGAGTGTTCCCACACAGAGCCACATATTTCTCCAGACACCAGCTGGGTGTTCAAGGATTCAACTCAATTCTGACACTATCTACCCAGAGATAGCATCAGATTCCACAGGTTAAGGGCTCAGTTCTACAAGACTGCCTCCCCACCCCCTGCCCACTTCCACTTCAGACATCAGTTGTTGCAAGCCTAGGTTGCTACCTGTGCTTTTGACCAACCAGCTATAAATCACAGGTTCCCATGACCTCTTCCTCAAGCTTGGTTAATTTGCTAGGATGGCTCACAGAATTCAAACATTGTACTTACTAGATTACTGATTTGTTATAAAAAGATACAATTCAGGAACAGCCTGATGGAAGAGATGCATAGGGCAAGGTATGTGCAAAGGGACGCAGAGCTTCCAAGCCCTCACCAGGTATGTGGCTCTCCTCAAATCTCCAGGTGTTCACTAACCCAGCTCTTTGGACCCTATCCTTTTGGGTTTTTATGGAGGCTTCATTAGATAGGTGTGATCGATTAAATCATTAGCCATTGGTAACTGATTCAACCTCTAGCCCCTCTCCCCTCCCTGGAGGTCATGGGATGGGACTGAAAGTTCCAACCCCTAATCACAAGGTTGGCTTTATTGGCAACAAGTACCCATCCATAGGTGCCCTCTAAAAGTCACCCCATTAATATAACAGAAGACACTTTAATAACTCTCAACACTTAGGCAGTTCCGAGGATTTTGGGATCTGTGAGCCAAGAATTGTGGACACTAAGCAGATATATGTATTTTTTTAATAAATTACAATATCATACCTCTTTTCCTAACATAAGATTTATAAACCAAAGGAAGGTCTTTTTTTTTTTAAAAGATTTTATTTATTCATTTGAGAGAGAATGAGATAGAGAGAGCATGAGAGGGGGGAGGGTCAGAGGGAGAAGCAGACTCCCCGCCGAGCAGGGAGCCCGATGTGGGACTCGATCCTGGGACTCCAGGATCATGACCTGAGCCGAAGGCAGTTGCTTAACCAACTGAGCCACCCAGGCGCCCCAAAGGAAGGTCTTTTAAGCACATGAGCTTTTGGCAAGACGAGAGTTGGTAATTTTACTTAATTTGTTTTCCTTTCACACTCTGTTTTCTTGTAATATTAGTTGACTGTATATGTTTGTGTTTATTTATGGGCTCTAAATTCTGTCCCTTTGGTTTATGTGTCTGTTTTTATGCCAATATGTTCTGTTGCTTTGTAATATAGTTGCTTCATAATGTAGTTTAAAATTGGAAGTGTAATAGCCTTTGGTTTTGTTCTTCTTTCTCAGAATTGCTTTGGATATTCAGGGTCTTTTGTAGTTCCTTATGAATATTAGGATTGTTTTTTCTCTTTCTAAAATGCCATTGGAGTTTTAGTAGGGATTGCATTGAATCTGAAGATGTCTTTGGCTAGTATGGACATTTTTTTTTTTAAGATTTTATTTTTTATTTTTATTTGAGAGAGACGGAGAGAGAATGAGAGAGATAGAGCACGAGAGTGGGGTGAGAGG